TTTTTTTTTTTTTTGTTAATTATGAACGGAAATAATTAGACATAGGTATAAATATGTATGAGAATACGATTTTTAGATCGATATTTGCATAAATATATGTATTTGAAAATATATTTGACTAATTCTAGGGGTGTTTAATTAGATAAAATATAATGTAAAATGCACAAATAAAATGAGAATTAAAATACTTGGTAAGTGAATCTCACTTAAATAATTTCCATTAATTTTCGTTAGAAAATGGGGCGGCCGGTGGCCCAGTGCCAGTCTTCCCGACATTAAAAAAGGACGTGGAATGGAACGCGAAATTGCGGTGAATGGATAGAAGTCATAAAACGACAAGGCCAAAATGTGTTTCGCCTCCCGTTGACAATGAGAAGCCAACAATCCAACATTCATAACATCAATTTTTCATCACCCTTTTTCTCTTCAATTTCCAGGTTCTTTCATAATTTTCTTATTTCTCCCATTATTAATTCTTATCAATTATTGGTAATTTCAGTGTTATTTTCAACAATCTTTTCTATCATATGTTTAAAATAATTTTTCACATTATATGATGTAATGTGTTGACGTTGGTTTTTGAATGATTTTAATCCACTGTATGTAGTTTGTCTAAACCATGGGTCAGGGTTGAGTAAGAAAATAAGTTTGTTGACAATAGAGGTCATTGAATAGTTCAAAAGAGACTCTTGAGTGTATTATTCAAGAAATCTTCAGTTTGAATCACTTCTCTGTTATTAATAAGGGTGAACACTAGAGTTTTTACCAGATCGATAGTTCTAGAGTTTTAAGAAATTAGTAAAAGTATGTATAAATTGGTTCAGACACCCCGATCATTCAAAAAAAAAAAGTTGGCTCAGGTCTTTGTTAACATGTCCTCGATGTTGTATCTTATTGGGTTAGGCATGGCAATGTTCCCTGGGATTTTGGGGACCCGCCCTGCCCCATATGGGGGGAAGCCCCGGTTTTTTTGGGGATAGGGGCAGGGGTGGGGGGTGTTTTAATCCCCGTCCTCGAGGATGGGACGGGGGTGGGTGATGCTTTTCCCCCGGCCCGCCCCGTATATAATATATAAAATTAAAAAAATGTATATATATATATATTTACTTTTCACTAATATCCTTATATTTCACCTAATTATATAATTATCCCACCTATATAAACTCATACTTTCCTAATTTCCCTCACCCTAAACAATTGAATAAGAACAAACCCTAACCCATATTTATGTATAATTAATTATATTTAAACGATTAATTTAAGTGTTTGTCATGTGGACGAAAATTAATTATTGTGTTTGATAATGCTCAAATTAATTTATATTTATATAAAATTAACGGAGCGGGGATGGGCCTCCAACATTCCCCTTTGGGGTGGGGAAAGGGAATTCCTGTTATCCCTATAACGAGGATGTGGCGGGGGTGGGAAATGATTTTGAGGGTGGGGATGGGTACGGTGAATGAGATCCCCGCCCCGCCCCATTGCCATGCCTATATTGGGTATTTGAATTCTAGAAATTAAATATAATTTTATACTCTTACAAGAATAAGAGATTGATGGATTTACTAAAATTAAGATAAAACACCGTATAAGAGACACATTTGTTTTTATTTAGATATAGCCTTACATACTATATTTCCCAATTATAAAATTTAATTTTGATTACATAAATATTCAATAATTCTTTAGTTTTTAATTTTTTTAAATTATTTTAAGAAAATCGAGAAAGCAAATCATTGGTTTGCAGGACTTGTGATTATTGACTAAGAAACTCGACGGATCTTGATTCGCAATAAAACGGTGGTTTAAGAATATCTCCAATATTACTCTTTATTTTATAAAGCATGTTTCACATGAATAAATATTATCTTATTAATTTATAAATATAAATAATAAAATTTGTATTCAAGAGCCATTTGAAGATGTACTAATATAACATAAATTATACTATTTTTTTACATATATAATTAACTATATATTTATTGGTTCAATAATAATCATTTAGAGCATGTGAGTAAAATATTATTTCCCGCACGTGTTTTTTTAGGGCACGACAGCTACTAAAGTGAGGTTTGGTTTGGACAGAACAGAAGGGTTAGAATTAGAGG